TTCTCCAGGGAAACTGAACCAAATATATCCATTTGAGTTTGTGGTCATAATAAATTATCCATGGCTTTTTGTTTCCAAAGCCTAGAAGTACTTGCCTGCTTAAGTTAAAGTCTCTTTCTCTTGCACTGATACTACGTACTTTCAAATGAATGTTCGCTGCATGTGAGTCAAAGTCTGTACAGCTCGACCAGTTACTTCATCTCTTTTGCAGTCTATATTGGACCTTTCACTTATCTGTATTGTAGTCCAAAATAGTATCTTGCTCATGCCTTGAAATTATGTAGGTTTTTTTTTTCTTTTTTTTCTTTTTTTTTACCTTTTACTCAGCATTCTGTTTTATTATACGCCATCCTTACTTTCAAAGTTCTTTTGGGGCTCACTTTAATACTATTCTTTTCATAGAGTTGTCTTCATGTTTCCAGTTCTTGGACTTCCTAAACTACTTAACAGCAGTGGTGTTACTATGCATAGTCTGCTTTATATTGTTATTTATTCTTACGGCTATTTCTTCGACCATTTCTTTTATCGCTGATCCTTGCACAAAGCTGTATACATGGTGAGAGCCAGATATATAGTTGTGGTTAATGGTGATAGGATGATGAACAAGTAAGCTTTTGGAAAACCTCTCTGCCTGGACATCAGCCAAATATATTTTTGGAGATAAAGAGGTAGCTGCTGGGCATACATCAATCATGGAAATCTCTGAGAGGAGTTTAGAACACAAAGTACACCCAAGGAGCTCTAATTGATTTCCCAGCCAGAAGACAACTATTTTCACAAAACGAGGGAAAGAAAGGGCAAAGAGCAGATGTTGCAAAGATTAGGTGAACTGGAGTCAGCTAGAGTGATGCGGTTGAAGTCGGTGTCCGGTAGCCTTCTGTCAGGAAAGGAGATGGAGGGAGTGATGAAGAAATGAACTTTGCAAAGAGAGAATTGAAGTGGGATGAAGCAGTAGCTCCATAACCTGACTTGTAAAGTTTGTTTTTGAGAATCTGTAACATGATTCTGATTCTATATCAAGATACGAATCTATCTTTCTTTATTATCTGGATATATACATCTTAAAAAATATCCTGAGGTATACATGTGTTCACACACTTCTGAAATAAGTAACATGAGCATGTTTTAGTTACTTTTGCTTAAATGTAAATTATCTTTAATATTACAAAATCATTTTCTACCTATACAACACTAAATAATGCTTATTCACAAGGTTACTAACGTGCAACTTATAATTATGAAAAGTTATAGGAGATGGAAATTTTATTTTATGCATAAATATGGCAATTTTTATCAGCAGAGAGGAAAGTGTATTAGACTTTTTTTTGTTACTATGGAGGATTTGAACAACTACAATGGTAGTATTTGGGCTGTGCAACCGTTGGGATGACATTAAAAATTCCTTAAAAGTTAATCTAGTGGATAGTTTTCTCTCTGGTAGAAGAATACATGAAATAACTCTTCACAAATCTCCTCATACACATCTATAGTTGATTATGGTTTCTTATTGTATATTTCCTGTCTTATTTAAAATTAATGACAGTGTCAAAACAAAGTACAGGACTTATTGAGCTGAAATATGGTTTTAATATATGCCTTCTTTTACCTAGTTATTTTGAATGTATATTTGTCACACTTGTGATATGATAAAAATATTAAAACATTTGATAAAATCAATTTTAGTATTTGCCTTGTAAAAAGAATGGCTATATTAAAGCTTTCAAGTTGCTAGAATACTACTGCCTTTGTTGTCAGTTACTGATTCACAAATAAATGCCAAATACCCAAAACTAGATGTCTCCATCAAACACAGGATTTTTCAGTACAGCTATGCTCTTAGCTTCCTTGTATGTGTGTGTGTGTGTGTGTGTGTGTGTGTGTGTGTGTATTCTGGAGGTTAACCTGTGTGTGCATCATTGAGTATTTGATAGCATCCCTGTCCTCTGTCCACTAGGTGCCACTAGTAGTTTCCCATCGCACATGTGACAACTGGAAATGTCTCTTGATATTGCTGACTTTCGTCTAAGGACAAGGTTGCCCAAAGTTAAGAACTGCTAATACAACCTGTTATGTTTCATGAATGCTCAAATTTTACAGTAGGTTGGGAGTAAAGCGATCTATCTGTCTATCATCTATCTACCTACCTATCGGTAATTTCCAGTGAATGCATAGCTGAAGGTAATAAATGATAGTCTTCAGTATACTATTTAAATCATTTCTAAAACCGATGAGGAACTTTTGTTGGTATTATTTCTAATTCACTCAATGACATTTTGACTAGAATATAACTTGCTTATACTTTAGTAGTACATACTTACATAGAAAATGGGCTCTAATTATACTTCTGTGTATATCTGGGCAATGTCTGTGTTAGTTAGAAAAAGTTAAAATTCTGTAAAATTAAATTATATGATTCTATAAATTTGGTAAGAATTTGGAAAAAACAGTTGAAATAATTCTTCAGTTTTCCTCATGTATTTTTGCCATACTGTGATAGATTTAATCAAGATACAGATAATTTTTTTAAGTTTATTTATTTTGAGGGAGAGTATACACACACACATGGGGGAGGGGCACAGAGAGAGGGAGAGACAGAATTCCAAGTAGGCTCTGCGCTAACAGAGCCCCTGGGGAGCTTCAGCTCGCAAATCATGAGATCTTGACCTGAGTCAAAATCAAGAGACTCTTAACCTCTGAGCCAGCAGGAGCCCCAAGATAGGGGTAATTTATTTTAGATGATACAGAAAGGCAATGGCTTCAGTAGAGTCAAAGCTAAAGCTATCTTCTGATTGGTAGATGGAGGCACACTCTTAGGTAAAAATGAGAATAGACTTTTAGATTAAAGTGGGTTCAAATTATCTAACCTCTTATTGCTTCAGAGTGTGATTCATGAACCAGTTACGGCAACAACTGGAAACTTGTTAGAAATGCAGATTCTTAGACCTCACGACACATCTAATGGAATAAAAATCTGTATTTCTAATAAACTGGAGAAACACAAGTCTAAACTTGATTTCATCTTCCCAGTATGGCTTAAGCTCCATAAGGCCAGAAACTTTGGGTAGTTCATTGCTGTGATCTTATTTTTTTTAAATATAGTTTATTGTCAAATTGGCTAACATACAGTATGTTAAGTGTGCTCTTGGTTTGGGGATAGATTCCTATAGTTCATTGTTTACATACAACACCCAGTGCTCATCCCAGCAAGTGCCCTCCTCAGTGCCCATCACCCATTTCCCCTCTCCCCCCCAATCCCCCCAGGGGCCCTCAGTTCTGTATATTTAAGAGTCTTTTATGGTTTGCCTCCCTCCCTCTCTGTTTGTAGCTATTTTTCCCCTTCCCTTCCCCCATGATCTTCTGTTAAGTTTCTCAAATCCACGTATGAGTGAAAACATATCATATCTGTCCTTCTCTGACTGACTTCACTCAGCATAATACCTTCCAGTTCCATCCACATTGCTGCAAATGGCATGGTTTCATTCTTTCTTATTGCCAAGTAGTATTCCATTGTATATATAAACTACATCTTCTTGATCCATTCATCAGTTGATGGACATTTAGGCTTTTTCCATATTTTGGCTATTGTTGTAAGCACTGCTGTAAACATTGAGGTGCATGTACCCCTATGCATCAGCACTCCTGTATCCCTTGGGTAAATTCCTAGTAGTGCTATTGTTGGGTCATAGGGTAGTTCTATTTTTAATTTCTTGAGGAACCTCCATGCTGTTTTCCAGAGCAGCTGCACCAGTTTGCATTCCCACCAACAGTGGAAGAGGGTTCCCATTTCTCCACATCCTTGCCAGCATCTGTTGTTTCCTGAGTTGTTCATTTTCATGATCTTAATAATCTTATGATCTTAATGTACAGTCTAGGGTCTGGCTCAGAACCCTCAATAAATACTTCCCAGTTGAAAGAATGAAATGTTAGTCCATCAGTGGATAGGATACTCTATTCTTTCTTGTTACATTTTTAAATAAGACAGAAGATTTGTTGATGTCAGCATGTCAGTTCTCAGCTTCCAAATATTTTATTCATTACTAGGAAGAAGAAAGAGGTCATATTACTGTACATACCTCTTAAAGTATTATTCATTTTCAAATGACAAAATGGGTAATACTTAAAGGACATACCTGCCAAAAAATAGATGTGAGCTAAAGCCAGTAATTTCTTATTTACTACAAAGTTGTCCATTAGTTATATACAGTATAACAATTTTTAAATTTATTTATTTATTTTGAGAGAGACAAATAGTGACAGTGGACAATGGGCAGAGAGAGGAGAGAGAGAATCTCAAGCAGGCTCCCAGCTGCCAGGGCAGAGCCCAATGTGGAGCTTGAACTCATGAAACCGTAAGTCATGACCTGAGCTGAAACCAAGAGTCAGACATTTAACTGACCGAGCCACGCAGGCGCTCCTAATTATATATAGTATAACATGTGGTAAAACTCAATGAGAAGATAAGCTTGAATGGATATGTATTTGGAAGCTTTACCTTTTTATATAGACACAGTATTCAGCTTTGGATATATAATTTGATGAAATGGGAGCCTTGAATTTGTTGTGATAGTGCTCAGGCTCTTTAGGATTAGGGTCTATATATTCTATTCCATAATCTTTGTAGTTTTGCATCAGAACATAATGGCCTTCGAAGGGATTATTACCACTATAACCCCTTCTGCTACCATCACCAGCTACTCAGAATGTATTGAATGCAGTGGTTTAGAAACACTTAACTCTTTTCCAGGATAAAATCCAAGAATCTGCATTGGAAGATCTTTCTTAGATACTTGGTTCCCTCTGCAGGACCCAGAAAAATGATCTAAGTTAAGAGATTGTGTGTGGCATCAATTAAACTTCTTAGTACTGAGATTATATGTGGCATCAATTAAACTTCTTAGTACTCAAATGCCTTTCTCCAGATGGAGTGTTTCTCTTGAGTTGACTTTGGAATCTGTAGTTTCGCTTTCTCTGATGAAAGGCCTTCTGACTTTCATGATAAGGTAATAGTCACCTGGAGTAAACTGAAACCACTGTATTGTGGATGTTATGTAAATGGGCCAGGAAATCCAGTAGATCTTCATCTGAGTACTACCCTTTATTGGTTTTATGATCTCAGGTTATTTAAATACATGCCTGTGCTTCAGCTTTCTTAAGGATAATGATAATATATGCACAGATATACTTGGCGATTTCAGTTAGATACTTGTTTAAAGTATTTAGCGTAGATTTTTACAAATAGTAAAATGTCAAATGTAAAGTATAAAATGCCAAGGGGTAATGGAGGTGTGGTGATGTGTTAAAGTGCCATTTAAATATGGAAGTTAAAAGTGGAATAGAACAGTCATAACAAACATTTAATAAAGCACTAGGTGCAGGGATGGTTATGAATGCTCTAAATGTATTCCAGCAAACCAAGATGACTGACATGACAGTAGTCACGCTAGACAGCAGTCTTCTAGAACAGTAGTTAGTGGGGAAGGTCCATGGATTCAGGAACAGAGGCAGTGACCGTTGGGCTGTGTAGCATTGCAAATGAATCGTAAGGCTAATGTTAGACTCCAGTCTTTGGGCAGTGTGGCTTTTAAGCTGCATAATTAAGGAAGTACTAGCCCTTCCCCTGGTGTGATAAAGTACTGGGGTCCAACACCATTGTGGCATGGTAGAACCTTTGTAGAGCTATTCTGCCTGCCCTGAATTTAGGTCTAACAGATGATCAAAACTCTCTCTGGTATATCTAACAGACTAGGGTCTGAGGCTTGTGGCAGCTTGTGAGGTGCAGGACTACCAGTATGAGATACCAACTCGCCATGCATGTTGGGAGATCCACAGATTTCTCTCTGTAACACGCGAGGATGTAACCTGGTTCTTTATCACCTCAAAGGTGCACTAAGATTTATTGACTTAGAGCTGTGGTCTACAGCTTTTTTTTCTCTGAAGCTTTCCAGGAAGCCCGCTTATAGGGAACAAGTTCTGGAAAAGTTAACCCTTAACTCTCATATATTAGTAATTAACTTTGTGATCAATTCTGAAGTGTTCATTTTAATGACAGTTAAACTGAGCCACAGAGCTTAAATAATTTACCCAAAGTCACACGGAAAGCTGGTTGCACAGCTAGATTCATAGTTAGGGATCTTGGCTCCAGAGGCCATGCTGTTAAATACAAAAACGGGCTTTAGGGGCACCTAAAGTAAAGTGTCCGACTTCAGCCCAGGTCATGATCTTACAGTTCATGGGTCTGAGCCCCGCATCAGGCTCTGTGCTGACAGCTAGCTCAGAGCCTAGAGCCTGCTTCAGATTCTGTGTCTCCCCCTCTCTCTCACCCTCCCCTGCTCGCCCTCGCTCTCACGCTTGCTCTCTCAGAAATAAATTTAAAAAGTTAAAAAAAAATTTTAAATGGGCCTTAAAGCTGATTCTTAAAAAAAATTAAAAATAGTAAATGCTCAGTGGTAGGTGGACAAAATCTCCACAAAAGTGTAAAATAATCATGAAGTTTAATTGGCAATTGAAAAAAAAGAAAGTAATAAATCCTTAATAAAGCAGTTACTGAGGAGAAGATTACTAAATATGAAGGAGAGGCTCTGGGCTGTCAGTGTCTGACTTAAGGTCCAGACACAGCACTCACAGACCAGAGGCGACTCCACTGATAAATACAGTGATGGATGAACTGAGGGACCAGCCTCAGCCTTCAGTTGGCAGCAGTTACAGAATATGTTACTGAATATAGTTACAGAAGATGCCTTTCCAAAATGAGGATTTGCAGTATAGAAAGACTCTTTTTCCTCAGCTTTATTGAGGTGTAGTTGATGGTAGATAAAAACTATTTATTTTTATGTATATATCTCTTGATCCGATACATGTGTACACCATGGTCCCCATGTTCAAAGTAATTAACATACCTGTTATTTTACATAATTACTGCTTTATGTGTTGTATGTTGGGTTTTTTTTTTTTTTTTTTTTGGTGGTTGTCAGAACACTTAAGAGTCTACCCTGTTAGTTATTATTTCAACTATATATACATTGTTAATTATGTCCACTGTGCTGTACATTAGATCTCTGTAACTTATTCACCTTGCAAAACTGAAACTTTGTACCCTTAGACCAGTATCTCCCCACTTCCCCCCACTCCACAGCCCTCAACACACACAAGACTTAATTATAAGTATTATCTACAGAGTGGAAGGTGTAACTTGCCCTGATTTGTTTGTTTATGCCCACTTTGGTGCCATGTTTGAATGGGAGATGAGAATTTAATGGAATCAGATTCAGACATGATCCAGCAAACATGTTCTGTAAAAAGAAGGTTGGCTTTTCAGAAACACATTTTTGAACCTCTGACTCATGGGACTTGAACCAAAGTCTTTCAGCCTTAGTTAATCCTTAACTCTTTTTGAAATGGAAAACATTTTTTGACAGAGCATCTCCCTTCTTAATAGCCATGATTTAAATAGTATTCTTAGTATGCAGATGGTTGCATTTAGTTAATGGTAAATCTTTTCTAAATTCTCATTTGTCATGATGTAAGGAAAGTTCTTCATGATGTTTTGTTTTGTTTTTTGGTATACCTCTTTAATTTTACTGAACATAATGGAAGATTGTTTTAAATTTTGTTTAAATGTTCTTTGAACCAAAATATTTACAGAACAAGGAGTTCTTCTAGCCAGGAGATTGTTCCATTTGTTGTGTTTGAGTGTGGAAACATTAGGAATGACAGCATAAGATGATACCATAGAGCATTTTCATAAACAACTTAATAGCATTGTCTAATGTGGTCTTTGTTTATTAAAGGTGTCCAAGATTGTTTTGTTATATTTAGGTAAATCTAAGTTTTTTTTGTTTTTTTGTTTTTTTTACTCAAGCATGGAAAATATTTTCTGGTGGGGAAAAGGAATATGACCCCCCCAAAAATAAAAAAGACCCTTAACTGGAAACATTTCTTAAGAATGTCACTTTCAGGAAGAAATAAATTGCAGTGTTGTTTTCCTTTTTTCAAAGGTAGTTAAAAATGCTATTATTTAATACTTGCTGTAAGAATATTGTGTGTGCATTTCTGTCTTAGTTTGTAGGCCCGAGTTAATGAATGACTATCTTTTTTTTTTTTTTTTTTTACAAATAATTTATTGTCAGATTGGTTTCCATATAACACCCAGTGTTCATCCCCACAAGTGTCCTCCTCCATGCCCATCTCTCCCCTCCCCCCACATCCATCAGTCCTCAGTTTGTTTCTCAGCACTCAAGAGTCTCTCATGGTTTGCCTCTCTCCCTTTCCCCCACCATTTCCCCCCTTCTTCTCCCCCATGGTCCTCAGTTAAG